TCCTTTGAACATGCAGGAATGAGCACCCTAACCCGAGCACACATTTCTGCGCATATTTTGACAGAATCTGGTTGTATGCGTTGCAACTGACTTTAAACATGAGAGGGAACAAGTTGTCTTCACCAGAGGTGAAAACATTTACTCACATATGGCTGTTAGGTACAGCGCTGAGGTTCTAAACAGTCAGTTGGGGTTTTTTAAATCTCTATTTCACCTCATTTTAGGAGGGAAACTGTAGATTTTAACAGCATAACATCTGTCTGACAGCTGCAGTTACCAGCTGCTTTTAAGATGAAAGGCTTTACGTCCAAAACACTTAAAATATCATGCATTATACTAAGATTAAACACGTCACTAGTACTTAAAGCAAATTGTGAATTGTGTATTTCAGTATGTATGACCTATGCAGGCAGCTTTCGTATTCCTTAGTCTTGTGTTGACGTAAGAGATTCGGCTCGTCTGTGAGCAAAGAAAATTCTCCCTCCACAGAATGAAACCTACCTCAGAGCCGTGTAACATAGGCATGGTCACAGTGGCTTTGTCGATCACTTAATCACTTTATTTTATATACATTTATTTAAAAAAAATTTCATATTCACACTTTTCCAAGTACACAAGTCCCTCTGACTAAGGTTGGTGATTATCTCACAGGATTAGGAGATAACAAGCTCGATCATCTGGCTCCTTATTTCTTGCCTTGTTAGCCTTTTGTTTAATCGCAACTGCTAGATAACAGTTGACTTAGAGAAATGATACGACCAGATACGAAAATAATTTGCAACAAAGCAAAGCTTTCCTCCTTAAGTGTACTCTGGTGACAGTACAATTCTCCTATCAAATTTGTAATAAAGAACCTTAAGTATTGCGGTTTAAGTCCAGTGCATAAGCACTTCTTCCATGTGTGCTCTTCACTTTCACTCCTCTCCTCTACACTCAAAGTCTGACTTAATACTGTACTCCTCTTCCTCCTTCTCTCTCCCTGTTGTCTCGTCACACCTCAGAGACTCCACCCCGCGATCCTGTTAGTGCTTATCAGAGCATGGCTCGGGTTCAAACATGGACACGCACACGCCCACACCTTTCCCCCAATCAATACCGAATTTACAGAGGCAGCTTTTCTCTCCTAACTGAGCTCAGCTCTCAGGGGTGGCTGGTGTCACCAGGCTGTGGAAGTTTGGCTGAACTACATACATCTCGTATGGCTGCTGACACAGAAACACACTTTGAGTTACTAAAACCTACAAAGCAGAGCAAAGTGCACACCACCGTATTATCTTCCCTGGCGGATCTTTAAGTCTTGGATCGTCAAAAGAAATATATCTGAAAGCTAAATAAATACAGAGGTCAACAGCTTAATTATGGAATTAACAAATCCCCGAACACAAAGTCAAATGAACCAAAAGCTGTGTGAGGCTGAGATGTTGATGCAGTGAGATGGCTAAAAAGATCCCAGAATTAAATAAGATTCTTTAAGTCGAGGTTTAACCCACATAACAACGTGCGCTTGCAGTTAACACCGTAACAAAATCAGAAATCTCTTTCAGGAAATTCAATATTCCAAACTATAAGGAAATTTGCCCATTTTGACCCACTGAGGTGCAGCATTCAGCTATAACTTATTACTGAGCTCAACAATTCTCCTGTGTTTTCCACTTGAGAATTGAGCAGTCACAAAGTTCAATGACTACAGCTATAAAAAACAAAAACTGTAACTAATTTAAATTTGGCTGTTGCATCCCTCAAGATTGTATCCCTGATGAGCCACACTGTTTTCCCAGGACTCCATTAAATGTGAATTTCAATATGGGAAAGAGGAAGAAGTTGCAAAGACTTAGCTTTGGGGAGGAAGGTGATGGTGAGAAAAAAACCTACTTATATTCAATATCATGTGTACTGGCGATGATGACACAGAAACCACAATTTATGCTTCGTTGACCGTCCTTAAACTTCAAGAAGTTAAAATAAACTGAGACCCGTTTCTCATGACCAGAGATCCTAAACATTAAAGCTGCGTTATTTCAACACAGAAGCCGTTTGATCTCTAAACCTTTAAGGCGCATAGTGAACCTGCAGATAAGTGCTGAAGGTGCACAAGGAGAAAACCTTGAAGGAGATAACAGCTATATTTCAAACAGGTGCGTTTTTTACCTTTTTTTTTTTTTTTTTATTTTACAGGTGCAGTCACTGAACTTTTTCATTCGGCTGATCCCGACCTGAAGCCACTGTTATCAACTGCTATACAGTTGACTCTCTTGCCTGACTTTGATTCGTACCGCTGGGACTAACTAAGTGGATGAGACGCCCCGAGAAGATCAGCAGCGATCCTTGCAAATATCAGCACATCTCCTCATGTGGTGTGTCCTTGGTGGATAAATAGGATTGGAAGTCTTGGAGATGAAAGCACAATCACATTTGGACTAATTCCTCACAGGCGCCTTTGTCTTTGTTTCTGTGTCATTTCATCATCTTGGAGATCATTCTCCCTTTAATGTCTGAAGATTTAGAGAGAAAGGGGAGTTTCAGTGACTACATGGGGGTTCTTTTGAATAAGAGGCAATTTTTTGGAAGGTTAAAACAGGCTATGAGTCCCCATGTTTAATGCTACCAAACCGCAAATACAAATATTTCTATTTTCACTTAAAACATGCCGGAATCCTTCATCATCTTATGTACTTTATGTAGGATGTAGATTTTATTTAACTTCATGGTACACACCAGGGAATATTTAATGTGTAGTTGATTGAAAAACAATAACCATGCAGCTCTGCGAGGCTGTAGTTATGCAGTTATGAAAATGAAAACATGTTGAGCAGGAAGTAGTTGTAGACAAAACAGTGCAAGCTGGTATGAATATCATTCGTTTTCTAGTTTTTTAAGGAATCTGACTGGTGTTAGGTCAAGAGCTGTGAAAATTAGATTTCTGATCAGGTGTTTGTGCGAGATGAAAGGTCAGAGTCACTGGAATTCATTTGTAGGTGGAGAGGAGGCAGTAGTGTCTGTATTGAATTTCTAGGGCTGTGCAGGAATATTGCACCATTTGAGTATTTGTTCAGCTAATTTTTAAATGATGGACTTGTGTAGAATCTCGGCTTGGGCGACCTTAAGGTATATTTTATTCCAGGTAACTTAATTATGCAACGTAAGTATAGTCAAAAACACAGCAGGAGAGGAAGAAGAGGATCACAGAATCTCTGGAAACACTCAAAACTACAGAATTCATTTAATTGTTGTCGAGGCATTTCAGATATCAGTTACCTTGTGCTGGCAGATGAGCACCAAAGCTGTTATGATTTCAAACTCCATATAATAGCTGAGATGTTTTATACTGAGGTGGTTGTTCAGCTTTATTTCACAAAAGCTTGTTGTCTCATCTGCCTATGGCTCAGTGACAACAGAAAAAAAGTAAAAGAAGGATGGCAGCCTCCTTGAAACTAGGAAAACATCAGTGGTAGCCTACTGATTTTCTTTTCGCATTCAGCTTCTGATTGCAAGTAGCTATAGTGACCAACTGGTCCAAAGATGATGGCACATGTCACCTTCTGTCTCTAAACTTCTGTCTCTAAGACCAACTGCAATCACTCTGAATTTACAAATGCAGAAAAACTGCCAATAACTCTTTGCAACAAAGGACTCAACTGCCTGCCAACTTGTTGCATTCTGGTTATATTTCCATTAAAAGGTAAGCTGGCTGAGTGTCTGTGTCACTTGCTATCCTGCAGGAACTGTGTCATTATTTGTAGAGGAATTTCTGAACTTCTGTTTCAAATCTACATTTCTGGCTGGAGTAACTGGTTAATGTGAATTTCTGTGAATGTAGATGGTGACAGATTTGTCATTTCTGCTTATTTAATCACAGCTACAGACCGATAGCAGACTGACTCCATGTTATTGCTGTTTCGACACACCAAAGTCAGTTTAAAGACGGCAGCTGACTGCGAGTGGTCGCAAAGCTGGTCTCTGTTTTCAAAGCAACGAGCTAAAAGGGAACGAGGTCACAAGTTCATTGCGCACTTTGGCAATAATTTGTGCCAAGTCTGTAATTACCGTTTTCCGTATTGTGACTGTAGCCTCATGAAAGTTTATTAGTACACTTCCAATTATCATTTGCCACATTTCCAAAACTAAACAATACACCAACATATGTAACTGTCTGTCATACAACTGGCAACACAGGGCAGGTTAAATTTGACCTGGGGCGAGGTGTCATTTGCTCACATGACTTGCCGTCTGAACACTCATTCAGTGTCCAATGTATTTATGTGCTTCCAGGAATATGCATCCTGAAAAAACCTTGCTGCCCTCCCACCATAAACAAGCATGCACTGAAAAGAGAAACAAGTAAGCAAGGTAGTCACTTCTCTTCTCTGTCTCTGTCCATCCTATTATTCATATTCAACTCATATTCAACTGCACTGCTCCCGCAGCGCCTATAACTCAGTTGATAAACCCCCTCTTGGTCACGCACAAAAAGAAAGGGGAAGCAGGAAGGCTGGATGTGAGAAAAAAAGAGAAAGATACAACTCACTTGTGTATTTGTATTTGTCTATAAAAATGCATTGACATTCATCTCTCTCCTTTCTTTTTGTTGTGTGTTTATCGAGTGTGTGGGTGGATAAAGGACACTTCAGATCTCGCTCGGTTGAGAATAAAGAAGTCTTTGTAACCTCCAGTCTCTTTGGTCCTGGGTTTTAAGCACACATATCACGGGGCTTCCTATCAACTGCAGCGCGGGCTGCCACACACATTAGCGCTGCCTCTACATAACTCCTAAAACATACAAATCCTGTACCAGCGTACACAATTTAGCAAATGTCCTTCCACAGACTTGCAGGAAATCATGCCACTATGCAGCTCATCAGAGCAACAGGCAAGATTTTAATCTCTTGAAATTAATGCCGTGAGCAACTTACATTCCAGTGTGTAGTTAGCATCAGTGAATGTAAGAGGCAGAAAAGCATAAAAGAGGAAAAACGAATAGACGATGGAGCTGCTGTACTCACCATCCTCTTTGCATTCCTCGGGCGGCTTTGCTTTCTTGGCTAGCCTCGGGTCCAGCCACGATGTTGTCTTAGTGTTGTGGCTGTGAAGAAAAGACAGAGAGAGCGTGAGAGGCAGTGTGATAGATGGCGAGAGAGAGGAGACTTGGCACAAAGAGAGAGAAGGAGGTTGGTGGATTCTTAATTCAGCCAGAGAATCATTTCAGAGAGGAAAGATGAGACTCCCTTGAGTGCCTGCGTCTAAAAAAGGTGACAAGAGAGACGAAAAATGCTTTAGGTTAACAAAATGGCAATCAATACTTTTAATTTGCTCACTGTCTCTCATTAGCGGGCGGGGGAGGAGGAGAGGAGAAGGGATAGGAATGGATAGAGGGGTGACTGGGGGAGTGATGGAGAGGAACAGCTGTGGGCTTGGCAGATTCAGCCAGAGCCCCAGGCAGAGAGCTGGATCTAGATCAGATATGATGATGTGCCAGGGAAGCGCAATGCATCTACGCGGCTTGTCTGAAGCTCTGGACCCACAATGGCCTCCCTTCATGATGACAGAACAATAGTAGGAAGGGAAAAGTCAGGGGAGGTGTTGAAAATGCCTACAGTAAAAAGATAAAGGAAGCGAGAAGATAAAGGAAGAGGATGCAGCGAGGAGACCTTCTTATATCTTTTTTCTCTTTAATACTTTTAACTTTTGTGTTTTCCCGCAGGATATTTTCTTTGCAGCTAGGCGTCAAACACATATAGATTTACAGAGAGGAACAGTCTTGAAAACATGCAAAATGCAAAATATAGAGATAATAAAGTTAAGTTAAGTGATGGTCTGTTGATGACAAAGAAGACAAAGGGAAAAACACAAAAGTAATCACCGAGCAAAAAGTAGTCTGGCATGTTTCTCTCACCTGATTCACTGAAGTGCAATGAATCAGCTTCTTTTAGGGCGTTTTCACACCGACACACTTTGTTCACTCTCGTCTGAATCAGCTGGTGACTTTGTGAACTAGTAGTTTTTCTCTGTGGCTTGGTTGCTTTTCACAAAAATAAAACTCCAAACAGACTCCAAGAAAACCTAATTGTGCCACAACAAACCACGTGAGAACTCTCAGACCACACAGCAACAAAATAAAATACAAGAAGTAGTCGCTTTTGTCTGGCCTGGTGGATAACACAACTAAGTGAGTCCCTGACTTATTTTTCAGCCAGGGGCTAGAGTTGGTTTACTCTTACAGTTTACAGCATGCAGCTGGTACCCAGGTCAGATTATGAGTAGATCATGTTAACATAAAGGAAACATTCTCGTTTAGAAACGGACCTGAGACAAACTGCTGAACTGCTCCTCTTGATGCACTTGAGTGCAAGTCTGGTCAAATCAGCACAAATGAACCAGAGTTGGATTTAAATGGACTAAACAGCGCAGATGTGAAAACACCTTTAGTCTCTGTTAACACCTCCATAGAGCTTATCGCTGTTAGGAATGTGGGGCTAGGACCCAAATGCAGAGTCAGGAAGCAGGCAAGATAAACAGAAAAAAAAAACCCAACTCCTGTTTATTGGCATAGAGTCCGTAAGGTACCATACATACAGGAGTAACACCAGGAAACACACCAACAGGGTTAATGGACACTGAGGCAAAAGAGAGAGGGAAACTGCGGCTATTTATACACATAAAAACACTGAGGGCTAATCAGGAAATAAGACACAGCTGGGAGGAAAGAAGACACGGGTTCACAGATTCAGCACTATCACAGGGGAGGTAGTAAAACTAAAAGTAAGTCACAAAAGACAACTAACTGCCAAAGTGCAACACGGAGTAAGTGACAGCAACCAGGGAATCAGACGCAAGACTGAGCTTGGCACATGGGAAAGATACAGGAGGATAGACAAAAGGAAACACATGAGAATACTAGAAACAGTAATGAAATACAACTAGAAAGGAAGATTCAAAATACTAGGACTAAATGAGAACTGAAAACTTCCCAAGATGCAAAAAACTAAACAAAATCCAGAAACAAAGCCCACAGACCACAAAAACAGCACACAGCTCGATGCTAAGACTGTAAATCTGATAGCCAAGTGCATAATTTACAGGATATTAAACTGAAATAATAAGCTAAAAAATAAGAACATCCTCTATACAGCTGCCGAATTGTTGTTGGTTCTCGGTGTCTTTTCAAATTAGTCATTTACTCAATATTAAGAGGTTTTTGAAAAAGAGGTTTTTGATCTCAACGGGACATTCCTGGTTAAATAAAGGTTAAATAAAAAAATAAAACACAAGGTTAGGGTTAGGCTAACTTGTATAGCTGTTAAAGTATATAATTTTATTTGAAAGGGAAAATCTTCTGCTTTTATATGGATAAAATACATCCTAACCCCAAAAGAGTGCCAACAACCTGCTGGATGATGATGTTTATCCAGAATACTAATTGCTGGAATATTAGAATAATTAAAATAAATATATATAAAAAAAACTACGTAGAACAACCAGATAGTTGTTATAGCCCTGCAACATTGTGTTTGCGCTGTGACTAGCTTAATTAACTGAGTTAACATGTTGACATTTGCTGATTAGTATTAAATGCTGCACAGAACAAGGCGTTTCTGTCATACAAATCAGTTATTTTAAATACAAATAACTGAAATTGAATAACTGAAAATAAATAAAATAAATAAATACATTTCATTAAAATATATATTTTCTTGATCAATCAATTAATTGTTTAATTAGTTATAGGCAAAACATGTCAGAGCAGAGATCTTTATATATTTACAAGGTTGAAACTGCATCTTTGCCAGAAATCACAGCTGTTTCATTGTAGATTTTTTCTCAAAGTGTATTGAGGTATTTTAGTCTGGACCAAAGTAACAGACTGATTGAATGGTGCATTGCTGTCCTTTGAGCTATGAACAGAAGCCTGAGTAGAAAAAAATGGACAGATAAAAGAGGAACAAGAAGCTTCATGCCAAATACAGAAGAGCATGAAGTGAACTTCAGTGCAAGTTAAAGTCTTTGGCTTAAATGTTGAATCTTTTTCATCAGAGCTTTTTATTCTCTTTTCTTTCCTCTACTTTAGCCTTTCAGTCATTTCTTCTCCATTACTACCTATAGTATATAAAACGTACTACCTCCTTACTCATTTTCTTGTCCTCCCTGTCACCCTCTCTTTTTTCCGCCTTTGCTATTTTTAATCACTTTTTTTCCCTTCCCTCTTCCTCCGTCTATTCCTCTTCTCAGACACCTCACTTCAAGAGCAGTAGGTAAACGAATTGATCTTATTTGGAGGCCAATCAAAGACAAGCATCCTCCTGGCATCACTTATGCGTAGAAAAAAAACCCTTGATGCTATAAATGCGGTAGGCTAAGTGAATTAGTTGTGTAATGTGCTTGATGGATGTGGGAGCATGAGGTTTCTCTGTTTGGGGTAGGAGACATATGGCGAGTTGTCTGCAGAGGATAGGAATTAAAAGTTTGCATCTGTGGCAAATAGACATGAAGAGACAACATGTGCCTGGCTGGCTGACAACCCTGTCTCATTTCTTACTTTGGTGCTGCTGCGAAGCTTCTAGCAGTTAAAAGAGTGCGCTCAAGCAGGCTGGGATTCAGCTGATTCTACGGAGAGATTTCTCCTAATCACTGAAATGATCAACTGGTGCAGAAAAGCCCCCAAACTTTTTCGCAATTGCAAAACCCCCTCTCTGCTATATCTACATTTGTTAATGTTTTACAAGAACTCAAATGCACACGCAATTCCCACCACACCACTGCAAAAACACACAGCAACTCAATTATTCTTATGTAATAAAAATTCACCCCATGGTTTTACTGCAGCTGTAAAATACTAACAACTCCAATGAATTAAACTTTAGAGCGTTTATAAGAGTTCTACGTAGCAAGGTATTTCTGGGGAGCTTTAAATCTTTAAAACCACCATGTATCACATATAGTCTGTGTGTGTGTGCTGAGCACAGAGGCAATTAAACAGTGCTGAAAACATAAAGTGACCACATCTTTAGCAATCTTCTTAGGATGTAAGGCAAATGACATGATCTCTGAGTATGGCGCTCAGATTCAGAGCTGTCCCTCTGACGTACTCATTTCTAATCCCGTCCATCCCGGTCACTCCCATTGAAAATCTTAACAAGCTGCCTCCAGCTCAGCTTCCCGTCTTTATGTCAGTGCTACTGTTTCCAAACCATACATCATCTAACGCTCGTCTCTATCCACTACACCCTGCCTGCGCTCTCTTCCTCACCTCGGTTTGGCACTGCCCGTTCCTTCGGACGGTTGACCCCAAGTATTTAAACCCCTTCAACTTTCACTACCTGTGGTCCTTGCAACTTCACCTTTCCACCTGCCTTCCTCTTCTCCCCAGAGCATACCTCCCACTTCACCAGACTCTCTCCCACCTGGTCCCTACTCTCACTACAGATCACAATGTTGTTTCTGAGCATTATAGTCCATGCCTGACTTCACCTGTCAACCTGTCCAATCAGTTCAATCGATTATCAATTTGTTCATTTTTCTACTTTTGTTTTTAAGAAATGTGTAAGCTGCTTATTATTACAGAGCAATGCCTTTAATGAAATTCTTGTATAATCCCAGCACCAATGTTTAAAGCAACAGTTTGTCTCATAGTTGATACCGATAATTTTTCGTGCCATGATATTTTTTAACATGCAGCCAACACAAACAGATGATTGGCAAGCAGATATTTTTATTGGTGAAGTAATATCAGCTGACATCAATGGTCAGCTGATATATTTGAGCAGCGGTCCCCAATCACCGGGCCACGGACCGGTCTGTGAGTCGTTCGGTACGGGGCCGCGATTGTTGAGGCAGGTGTGAAATTTATGGTTTTATCGATTTTTATAGTTTTTAAAAAAAAATCGTTTTTATCGTTAACTTGGTTTCCCTGGGTCTTTTCCTGTGTGTTATGAATAAATCTTCTTTTTTTGGTACCAGTACTGGTTTTATTTTATTGTATTTATCCGCGACACCTTAAAGGCCGGTCCATGAAAATATTGACGGACATATACTGCGGCACAAAAAAGGTTGAGGACTGCTATATTAAAGGATTTATAATTATTGTGACGTGAGTTTGTACAGATATCCATTCTGTCCACAGCTGCACACAACAAATGGCTGACGGTAAAAGAAAATATTCCAATAACTACGGGAATGCAAAACAACGTTCAAATTCCAATTTTAAAAGTTTTTTTGTTTACATGTATCATCAAAACAGGCTTGATATAAGTTTTTTTTTTAACATAATACTTTAAAAATGGCAAAAACAAAAGTGAAGGAAAGGAAAGTTCTAGAAAATTATATTTTGCTCATTTTTCAGAGACCTTACTTTAAAAGAAGAACGTTTTTTTAGCTAAAGTTTTTTTGTCACTTTACACCCCGCTGAGGTCTTTAAAAATCACTTATAAACATCATCAATTTCAAGAATATCTGAGAAAAGTCTGAATGCATATATCATTCAAACACTTACTCTATGAAGTAGACTTCTCCTTTCTCAGTGTATGCCATCTCCCAGTTGTCTGGCAGCGGCCCTAGCTCATCGTTCTCATCTGGTTTGGGCACTGCCATCTTCGGAATCTGTCCATCATCTTTGGGTACCTCGCTCGGGGCCTCTGCTGGGTTGATCTGCGGGCCGACGTCCCCTGAAGCATCTGTGCTCTTGTCCTCATGTTCACTTGATTCTGAGGTGACAACAGGACAAGATGAGTCAGGCATGACATTATCATCGGAGAGGAACGGGGGAGGGCGAGGAGAGTGAAAGACAAGGGAGCTGAAGTGTGGAAAATGTGAAGGGACTGATTGAGAGAAGGGGCTAGGGGTGGAGGCAGAAAAAAGAGGAAAGAGTGATTAGAAAAAGGTGAGAGGAAGTGGTGACATTGGGGAAAGACAGGAGGGAACAGAGGGAGTGATTGAGGTTAACAAGACAGAAAGATGAATAAATCAGAGGAGACAATAGAGATTGAGAAAGTAGCAGGCGGTGATGCCCTACTTTGAGTTGTGGCAGTGTGTGAAAGTGTTAGCGAGAGAAAAATGGGAAGACAGAGAAAGAGATGGCAAGTGTGAGCTCATCCCAGAGGAGGTTTGGTGGAGGGAAGTGAAGAGGGGACAAATGAAAGTAGCGGATTGAGAGATAATCTATGGGAGGGAAAGCGCGAGGTAGTGATCTGCTTAGATCACAGAGCCTGCTGTGCTCTATTGATTCCCCTTCTGCTCTCCTGGTCAGCCCACACTCGGTCCCTTTCAGAGACAAAACTCCTCCTGAGCCGAGAGAAGCTGCCCACTTTAACAAACAACATGCCTCAGCATGACGTTTTTGAGCATCTCACTATTGCTGAAGATATTTCCACTCTTGATTTATAAAAACTTTTCAACACTTCATGTACAAATTTGAACCGATGGCATTCTGGTCATAAAAGTGGTGCTCTGCTTCAGTTTGGGGTCTCCAAAGATGACAAAAACCTTTTTAAGAAACCCCCACTACCACTAGATTGAGATTACTGTTAATAAGCAGGTAAAAACATAAATCATGTCAGCTTCATTAAAAGTTGACTACCATACAGTAGGTCTTGTGTCAAAGTCTTAGCTTTTACATGCTGGGTTTTAATGAGATCACAATGTCAGAGATTTATATTATTTTATCATCCACAGCAGGCTCCAGACAAAATGAAAGTAAAGTCAAAGTGTAAAATAACATGCAAAAAAACACACAATCTACTTTTTAAACTTTTTTTTGCTTCTGATTTCCTTTCATCAATTCAGGTATTTTATGTCTCTGATCCAGTAAAACAAATATGATATTTAAAGGAAAATCATCACTTCACCCTTAGAACATTTAATCTGAGTATTTTCTGTTTGTTTTTCTTCCGCAAATCATGAATCTTACCTTGTTTGACCTCGTTGCCAAAAGGAAACCAATATTGCATCCTTTAACCAAACTTCCCTTCTCAAAATATCACCTTAACAGCTCCATAGTATATAGCCGTAATTACATCCAAAAATACAGCTGCAGCACAATATAAAAGTAAGTGCAGGGATCAGCTGAAATCAGCACTCAGACTCCTTGAGCTTCTGTGCTGCTCTGACTGATGCTGTGCAGTGAAAGTCTTTTCCTGAGGCCATGAAACCATCTTAGAAAGTCACAGGACCGAAGCGTGGCTCTGGATTTGGAATCACAAAATTCGAACTCATAATGGTGTTTTTATGATCGCCTATTCATGTGATCACGGGTTTCAGTGCGTGACGGAGCAACTCCATGTATCTGTGTTTGTGTGTTTACTTGTTATAACAAGTGAACACACTAGAAGGTATACTTAGATACGTCTTTTTAGTCTAGTCTTTCAGTGCAGAGAATGGCACCTTTCTCTATCAGTTTATGGATAACGACAAGCTCTAGAGGTTTGGCCTTGTTACACAGAATGTTAAACCCCTTTTCTGCCAATTTTCTGTATTTACAAAGAGGATAACAGCACTTTCTACAGGGCTGATTCACAAATGAGAGAAAGCACTTAATAAAATGCCCTTGTTGATTTTTAAACAGCCTACAGGCTTTTGTTGAATTGGGGAGCAAAATATGTGTTTGCCCCTTGCCTATCTGTTCTGAGACACTGTTTAAAAATGGTACCTAATGAATGATATCAAATTCTAGAGAGCAGCAGCACTAATGCTTTAATCATAAACTGTTTGTGCCGCAGAGGTAATCACTGCGAGAGCGAATTGCCGTTCACTGTTTATATATCACGTCATTAAACTACATATAAAGATATTTGTGTAACCAATTAAAAGTGATAATCTGCCGTAAAATCATTTTCAAAGAAATGCATGTAAAAACAATCTGTTCCTGCATCTGTTGCTAGGCAACCGCCCTTAAAGAGACTGTCGCTGTAACATGCAGATCAGACTGAGCCCAAGCGTGACCTCAGACCCTGCTGTCATGATGAAGCCTTCGGCAGAAGTGACCTTTGCCTCTGTGCGTCTGTGGAGGTTGCTGTCGGGACTGACCTGGGGTGACAGCAACACCGTTGCCATTGACAATGGGTCTCTCCTCCTCCTCCTCCTCGGGGGGCTCGATGCTGGCTTTTTCCATGTTGCTGACTGACTTGTTGCGTTTCCTCTTGCCCTCTGAGCTGGGTCTGGCGCCCGGGAGCAGCTGGTCCGTTACATTTAGCAGCAGAGCGCTGGGCTCAGCCGGAGGCTTTGGGGTGCCGTAAAAGTTATCTGGAAAACAAAGTTTAGCTATAGACGTACAGTAGAGTGCAAAGGAACTTTAGATTCTCATACATCACATAATATCACCAAGTTGTCAAATTCCCTGTGAAAATGAGAGCAGGATGAAGGGATCTAAAAGATGGATATCACTGACAAGCTCTGGACATCTTAAAATGCAAATTTTAGATCAAAGCAACATTTGGCTAAAGCGCAGCCTCACTCTGATGGTATATGTCCACAGCTTCTGTGATTTCCACACTTCCCAATCACTGACTACGACAGCAGCTGGGAAATGCGTTCTGTTGCCAAAGTGTTGCAGTTTCACTGAATGGATTTGATTTGGCTTCTCCCCATTTGAATCAAGTTTACATTTAGCCTATTTTATGCAAATCAGAGCTCCCCAAACCTTTTAAACTAACCACACACACACACTCTAAAATATAGACCCATTGAACAGTTTCAGGGTTCATTGCTTACCTTGGTGTTTAAAGGAACACGTTTAGTTAAAGGTTTGCTAATATATAAGAAAGCAACTAGAAGAGCTGTTATTTTGGCCCATTTTATCCTCTCCCTCTCTACTGGGAAGAACCTCAGTACTTCAGAAGGAAACATGTTGGACCCCCCCCCCTTTTTAAGTGTCTTAAAAGTAAATATATCTGCTTCTGTTAATCCCAGGAGATGACATGACATTAAAAAAAATAAAATCTGCATTTCCATAAAATTTTAATAAAGGAAAAGCAGCACTGAAAAATAATTCCTGTGTACATAATGTAGATGCAAAGAGGCAGCAGAACGGGCACGGAATAAAGAAAGTAAGGATGAGAGAAGCGAGAGCGGGTTAGGATGTTAGCCTTGTAATGTCAGATGAGTTCTGCACTTGAGATGTTGTTCCAGCTAATTCACCATCATCTGCACAAAGACGTGCACACTTGCAAAGTAATCTTGACCTGCACACATCTAATTGCGAGCTAATCGCAACCATTTAAAGAACAGCATATTTATTATTGCGAAGTTCTTCCATTACCTCCTCTGCATATAAATCACTTACTAGCCCAGTGCCTGGATTTCCGTGGAATATAACTATGGGTTTCTGCATGACTTGGACTGAATAATAACCATCTCTCTCTCGCTCTCTTAGTTTCGGTCTCTGCTCAGAACCAACTCCCCACCTCTGGGAACTGCAGGTTTTCATTTGGCTGTGATGCAACAGCTCCTTCCACAGTCGTCTAAGTTGATTTTACATTTTACTGTGATTCAGTTTAAGTACTGGCAGCCTCCATCAGTCAATGTGAAAACCTCATAACCTCATGTTTATGGATTTATATATTTTTTTATTTTAATGAGTGCTGTTGAGATTTAATGTGATAAATCATTTTCTTCCAAAAATACAAAATGCTATAAAATGCTCACACAAAGGGTAACTGGAAGAGCCAATACCTCAAAACCTAAGGGAAAAAAAAAGTGTGCTGGCATTTTTAGATGTGAAGTGACCAATAAAACCACAAAGTTACAGTCTTTCCTTAAGCCATTGCAAGTCTCAAGCTTCTAAAAGCATTTTCATGCAGAGTGAAAAAACTGCAAGTTTTATGTGACTGACCGGACTTTTTCTTTTCGAGTTTTTCGCACAACAAACAGATGAGAGAGAGTGAGACATTGGATTATATTCATCCAAAGTCTGAGAGATTCTTCTGTCACTTAAAAGATCAGACACTACTTTCCTTGGAGGCTTCCTTTTAAATCGGTGACCTCATCCACTCAAGTGTGCCTGCTAGAGCACATGAAGGCTCTGCTTATGCGCAATTAACTAGGCTCAAGCATCTGAGACAAATTTTTACACATATATCAAGGGAAACATGAAGAAGCACCTATTGAAACATCATGTTCACATTGTGAAAAACCTAAAGGCTGCAATAAGAAATAGAAGCGAGCAGCTCTAAAGAGATTACGGAGACTGGTGGGATTAGAACCTCTGAACCAAAGACACGATTCCCGGACCCTTAATGAGCTGAAGCTGAGGAAAAAGTATACGCCGCGTGTGAACTTAAATAACTCGAAGCATCACAGAAACCTGGACTTTGAAGTTTGAGTAAGTGGTGGAAATGCTGTCACATCTAAAAGCCACGGTGATTTAAGTCTACAGTGTTACTGAAAGTAACTTCTTTTCTTAAAAAAAAACAGAAGGAAATCACCTCAATTAACAAAAAAGATCAAAAATGAAACAAAAGGAAGGAGGAGCTGAGATTTCTTTGTCACAACACAATCATGAAATAAAAGCAGAGATGGTATAAATAGATGGACGCAGCGATCGGAGTGGGTAGTGTCCAGTTATGAAGCTTCACACTGAAGGTTTTCCCTTATGTAAACCTGTCATGCAAGGGGTGGATCTGACACAGAACTCATTGGCAATAATCCTCCTTTCTGACTCTAATAATAACCATAATTTACAAAATGAACTTCATATTTTATTGAATATGAGTTGGAACTAGAGATTTAGCCAACAAAGTCCTCAGAACACAAAGCACAGCAAGGCAGCGAGAGTAATTTTCCTATAGACTTCTATACAACTGGACAGCTTTTTGCAACCAGGGGATCCAGCCCCCTGGTGGTCATTAAAAATAATGCAGCCTTTAGGTACTGAAGGCCATGTCTATCTTGTATCCATACTGTTAAGGATTTTTTTCTTAGCAAAAAAAAGAGAAAAGAAAAAACGACGGATAAGAGTTTATTCGGAGACCTCATCTCCGCCACAGCATCTCTGTTCCTTCAGCAGACTACACCAAACTCATATCCAGATAAGTGAGGATCTCTCCTGCACCGCTGAACAAAATCATCTGCTAGTACTCCTCCCGCCCATCATCATTTACAAATAACATTTTGCTATTTCATTGCCTTTTACTTATTGTCATTGTTTTGGTAAAACTTGTTCAGGCGCACTCCAATGCATTTGTTTTTGCAATTTTTAAAGCTTAAGCTACACTTTTCATGTACCCACCGGATTCTGCAGAGGTAACGCCCCTCCCCGGGGCATCCTCAATGGGGAAGAGTGGTAAATGTAAACATCTCTTTCCATAACAGCCAACCCTAAAGCTATTTCAAATTACAGTCACGAGTTATTCTAATTTTGTCCATTTCATATCGCTCTGTGCAACAATATATGTAGAAATGTTGCAGCTGGTTTTGGTTGGAACTCACTACCTAGTAGTTAATGTTGGCTCTAACTGGCATTCACATGGTGTAACAGATGGCTTTATCTATCTGACGAGCTTCATCATTACAGCAAATATAACCTAAGGTGTACGGTTATTGTAATATTTAGAGCTCACAATCAAAACATGAAAAAACAAAAAGATTATTTTATTACGCTGGAATAATGAAAATGAATGGCAATGGCATATTTTTACGCTATCATTAAATTACCACCCAGACTCCTGTTTTATAAGTTGAAGAACACCAGGGATGTAATTAAAATAACCACTGTGAAAAAGTAAGTGGAAATTAACTGAGGAAGAAAAACTGGAGTTTCTTTCACTTTGTGACTCAGCTGATTAAAGATATTTGTTAAAAAATAGAGCAAAACAGTAAGATGTTTGGACTTTGGATGTTTGGATGTTTGCTTTTCTCTGGGAAATGTTTTCTAGGAATTGAACCTGAGAAATTCCTATTTTTTTTCCTACTAACAAGTCAAACCTCTCTCCTTTTTTTACCAGGCAGCTCTTTCCTTTAAAATTCATGCCTTCCTTCTTTCTTCCACATCTAATTGGCCATTAAATTATTAAAATGTATAAAAGGCTGTATGATGGCCGAGCGACCGCGCAAGAAGGAACTCTGTCTCCCTCTCCCCATGGAAGGCAGCTCCCATCGCCAAAAGGATCTAACATTGCTTCTGGCAACCGACCATTAAATTGGCCATCTGCAATTTCCTTTTTTTTTTTTTGCTCCATCCTGCAGGGGCGGCAGGCTGACAGAGACTGGAGTCAGGTGGGAGAGAAGAAAGTCGGCTGCTATGTGTTATCTATATAATGGTAGGGGTCTCCTGAGAGTTGGAGGTGGACAGGCAAACTAGGCGCTGGACTTTTTGAGTGGTTTAAAATCTAAGCCTCAGGCCTGTCTGACCACAGGAAAGAGATGGAAGAGAGTATCTGTTTGTCTGGATTAGGAGCCTGAAGAGCCACTGCAGCTCAGGCTCAAGTGAGCCAAGAAAAAGCCAGCATGAACGTACTGTGTGTGTGTGTGTGTGTGTGTGTGTGTGTGTGTGTGTGTGTGTGTGTGTGTGTGTGTTTCATTGAGAATTTACTTTAGATTGGTTTTAGTGTCCTTCATGTCAGATTTCACTCTCATCTCCATAGAGCCAAAAGATGGATAAATGGAAGCAGACTTGTGTGGGGGAAGTGTGGACGTGAGGTGATGAGCCCCATTCATTCAAGCTGCTGAAAACTACCCATAGTGCCACACTGAAGCATACATTCCTTAAAAAAATATAGAAATATCACAAAGAAGAATGGCCGCAATCATACGCGTTATTAAGCGTGTCTTAAATAAATCCTTACCTTCATATGTTCCACTCTCTAGCAGGGCTCCACTTTTCTCCAGTTCCATAAACCGGTCAATGGTCACGAAATTATAATCCACCCCCGGGACCTCTCCTTCCTTGGGCTGCCTGGTTGTGCCTGCAGAAGATAAGCAAGAAGAGCTATAATGTGAATAACTACTGAATGAGAGGGGGACTTTGATTAAGGGTGAGTCTTTTTCAGTGTTTTCGAGACGATCAGAACAAGCTGACCCAGGCCCAGCTCTATTCATTAAATTCCCTATCTTTACATTCCTTTTTTTGTCCCATCCTTTGTACAGCTGAGACTGAATATTTAACAGAGAGGAGAAGTGGCAAGGTATGATTTCAGGAGCTAAGTGATGCAATTTGGACACCAAGAGGAGAAATCAAATCAATTTGCATGGAGTTGACAGCATGTCGAGGACTCCCTGACAGGAGCAGCGGTCCTGCCAGCTGACAGGAACACGGGTGCGGTGAAAATATTTTACCCTGTGATAGCAGCATTTTAAGTCAAGTCACGACCATCATTTCTCCTCCAGTTACTAAAACAAAGTGTGTCAAAGTGTTTACAATGTTAAAATGAGGTACAAATGACTTCCTAAATACGTTCTCATAGCTGTGTGCTAATTAGACTAGTTAAAACTGATCCCAGCTGTGATAACACGCAGCACTCTACCCCTGAGGTGCTGAATGGGTTTTCACATCTGAGGGAGCGTTACTCACACTAAAGCAGAGCCTGTAAACCACACTTGTTAAAGCCTGACTATAAAGTATCCAACTGTGTGTTTTAAAGTTAACGGCGGAGCGTTGTGCCACCGATCGCCCCTTGTACGCAGCATGGGGTGATTTGACTTTATGTGAGGCCAGATGACATCGCTCCTGCATTACAAGTTTCAAACAACGCCTGTAAAAGTTTGTGTGTTGTGTAGATGTGGGCCAAGAAAAGCCAAAAGTACGCAGGTTTCAGTTTCCATAAACACAGATTACTGCACTTTTAACTGTATAAACAGAGCTACATCAGTTAAAGAGCTGATCTTAAAACTACCAAGTGGGAAAAATGGGTATGCTTAAGAGCCCAAGAGGATGAAATTGTTAGTTTTTCTTGGTTCACTTCATGAATAAGAAGAAAGGGGATAGAATCAGCAAGCCTACTTCATCTTACTGCCCCTAAAGGGTTTACATTAAAGGCTGAAAAACTCCTTGAGGTTCTCGAGGCTGCAAGTCGGCCAACATCAAGATCGGGCAGTTTAGAGACATTTGCATGGTTTGTGTTTTATACTTGAACTTTTCAGCAACAACAATCAGAAAATCTTGCCCTCTTTGGCAACGCGCGTGGAGGTGAGAGAGCAAGAAGAGGGTTTGATCTTCTCTCAAGCCGTCTGATCACTTCAATCACTTCTCATATGTACAAACAAGAGTGAGGCTGAATGCTTTGAAGGAGAGAGTATTCAAAAAAGTGCATATGCTATTCGCATTTGAAATGCTGCCACTTGGATCAGGTATAAACAACTTTGCCATCAGACGTGACTGAGCCTCACATGGGGTGTATGAACTCACTGAGGTCTGCTTCTTTCATGTGTCAGCGTTTAGACAGTGTGATCAACATCATCAGCCCGAGCTTAAACTTCTTAAGATTTTAAAGTTTGGAACTGAAAAAATCTGAATCCAATTAAGATTTTTTAAACCCCCTAATCTTCAGGGCACCCAAGGGTTAAAAGGGGTCACCGCTTTAAATAGTGAAGTTTGGACAAAAGCAAACAGGTAAACAAAAAGCTCATGTTCAGAGTGTTTGAAACACTTTTGTCTGCTCTTGGTTCTTAATAAATTCAGAGAATCAATATCCCTAATATGGTCCTGTCAAAGGAAAGGCTTTGCTGTGCACTGGTCCTATGCAGAGCCTACCCACAGCTTTGCAGACCATTATCCACATGTAGCCATTTACTGTCATCACTGCCAAAATATATGAAACCACCGATCTGCTGCTGGTCCTTCAGCTTCTACCTGAGACTGAAGTTACAGTATTTTGTCGTCACAGTTTTCATCGACGACTGTTTGTTTTCCAGGCGATGTCTAAATAAAAATTTATGCATGAGGACAAAAAGTATGATGAAATGTGTTGACACTTCCGTCAACAAATAAAAAGTTAAACAAACTGTTCTGGAGAGATGAGAGAAAGGCGGAACGAGTTTGGAAGTGATCCAATGAGAAGTAATCTTCTGGTGCTGTAAGGTTAGACGGGCACATTTTCTCTGCCACCAGGAAGCAGTACAGTACAACAACTAGCTCCTATGCTTCCTGATGCTCATGAAAACGTGACAAAATGTCAGCGCTTGGGAGGAAGAGAAGATTTGACATATAGACACATTTTGTCTTTGTCGTCAAGGAAACTGAGATGCTTTGTTAAATGTATGGAGCAACTTGCTGGTAAAAAATGACAAAGCAACTTTAGATTTAGTCTATCATAATCTTATGATATTTAGTTGACTCAAACTAGACTAAAATAACTTAGGTGCCTAAATTAGGACTAAAACTAAATCAAAATTTGTTGTCAAAGTCAACACTTCTGTCTACTGTCTGTGTCAGTCACTCTGTTCCCTGTTCAAGCCCACATTACAACTAGTCAGCGTTCAACCTACGTATAGCATCATCCCTGGTAGGCTACATGCTGTCGGGTTTTGGAGGACTGCACACAACCACATCTTCGTAGTTTGCTTACCTACAAACATCACTTTGTGTAGCCAAAGGGACATGAATGCACCACGGTGAATCAGGCACAGAGATCTGGCTTTGGATAAGTGCACAGATGCCCCATCCAACGAGTGTTAAATGCTGCATTTAGGGTGTAAGTTTAGCTCACTCTGTTGAGCAGCCTCATGTTGTTATTGTAGGCAAAGGCACGGGTTCAAATTTATGGTGTGTGTTAGCCCTGCTCTTTTGCCCAGCTTTTTTATCTTACCTTATCACATTAAGGCCCAAAAATATATTAAAAGAAAGATGGAATTTAAAATCTTCCTTAAATCTAGATAACTGCAAACCCTTCTGAAACCTAACGTGCACTTCCCTAGCCTACATCGTCTGTGAGTGTCCTGTTTCATAGCTTTGTTTCCTCCGATTGATTTCTGGCTGTTTGTTCTGCCACTGCTTTTTTAATTGGCTCAAAATGAAATGAACTCTCCAGAAGAAAACGTTAGTGTTTTGACAGTGAAACGGTGGAGCAAAGTAGGCACACCACACACAAGTATAAATGCTCTTCATAGAGTCAATGATGAAGTTTGAATAAGCTTAATCTTTTGTTGATGCGTTATAGCCAGTAAGATGCAAGCTAGCTTAACAGGGGAAGAAAAGGAGCTAAAATGTTTTAATGCTGATAAACTGAAGGGGAGCTGCAAGGTCTAGTATGAGATAAATCTGAACCATTTTGAACTATGGATCATGCAGAGCTATGGTAATAGAGTCCAAAAATAAAATATGCAATTGAAAATATATACGCTTGAATCATTTTTTGTGTGTGTTTCTTGTCATTCCCAGTCTCTATGTTGATAGATTATCTGTCTTTTCAATATTTTGCTCTGAAATAAAGGCAAAAACTATCCCAGAATTTTTTACTTAATTTAAATTTTTTTGCTGTGAACAACAAAACAAATCTTCTTTACTTCAAACCAGCTGCATGCCGTTAACCTTCGTGTCAAACCTTTTCATTTCTTCTTGTTAACAGGTTGATTATTGGTGCTTAAATGGAGAGAGCAAACCCCGAAAAGAATCAATGATCAGCTGGTGTCCTGGGGACTGCAGCGCCCGACTTTGTTCACATAAGATTCACTCAGAGGAACCCTTTCATTTCTCGAGCACATGATACTGACATGACTATTTCATGAACTAAAGTGGCACCCTGTATGCACTTTTTCATATGCTCAAATAGAAATTTACTGTCAAAACTAAAACATCAAGCTGGAACCTGCTGAGAGAGTAAGTCATGTGAGCTGATAAGAGCAAATGAGCAGCAGGGAACACCGTGGTCTACGCAAAAAAGTATTTTTGTGTTTCTGTTTGTGCTGCACCTCCAGAGGAGAAGAGCTTCTTGATTGTGTCTGTCTGCATGGGAGCTTGTGTACTCGTCAGATTAGCCTCCCTCCCAGGCAGAGCTCCTGACTGAGCAGCAGACACACATACACACGAAATTTCAAAGAGGACCTTTGATGTTGGGGGGCTATATTTAGCCGAATCTTCTGGTAGGACTTCTCTAGGGTGACAATTTCTAAAAGGAAGCACCCACAATGCCTCTCGATTTTCAGTCCTTTGTATGTGGGTCATGATCCTTTAGTGCTGATCTGTGAAAATAGAAACACCCCGCTCAAGTGCGCAGTATTTCTTTAGGAAGGTAAGTCATGATTATGTATAAAAGCCTCGGACACTTATCAAGATTTACTACTTTGTTCATAATTTAGTTAGTTTACCAGAGTCTGGGGTTAAAAAAAATCCCCTTAGGTGTGTTTCAGGAGTGTGTGAAGCTCTCCTTAAAAATAGGCATGCATACAAAACTTGAGCACAAACATGTTTCATTGATGTTTGAAGTGGGAAAAACTGAATACTACCCTAGCAGCAAAAATATTCTACCAGTTTAGAAAAAGAAAGAAAGTAAGACTTCCCTCTTAGCATTTGATTAGCATTTCAAAAATGAACAGGAGGTGCAATTTGACCAAAAGAATTGTAGCAGTTTCAGTTTTTGTGTGTGTGTGTATTTTTAAATCACAGTCATCCTCTTTTGCTACGGTCTTCTTTATTTTGGAATAAAAACTGAAGATAGAGAGAAAGAGAAACAGACCTTAGCAGATAACCAGAAGTGATTTTCACACCTTCCAACTTACACTTTGGACTCTGATTGGTTTTCCCACTTGGTCCAGGTGTGATTTAGGGCAGGTGCGAACCCAGTAAATTCACGTGGGTGCAGACAAAAACAACTGCACCGAGACTCTTGAGTTGAAATGTCTAGAACTCAAGTGCTGTGTTTATCCTCCCTTCAGATGGTCTGCTAGGGCTTTACTGCAGACACCTTCAGTTTTGGGTTGCTTTTGCTGAATGTTTTGGGTCATTATCCGTTTGCACAGTGATGCACCAACT